TCATCAGCTTTTAAAGGCAAAACGTCAGCAGACGTCCCTGGCTGGGGTCAAAGTTAAAAACCCTCTGATTCCTAACACATTTTCTACATCACTTCATGTTTGATGCATTTGTTCATACACAACTCCAAAAATCGTCTGTGGAAAGACAGATGGTCTTTATAATTGTGTTTTACCTACCAGATGACATCCGAGTCTCTGGTCTCCAGACCCTTCAGTGGCAAGTTCTATCTTGCCCGTTACAAAGGAAAGTGGTCCAGAGTGGAGGTAAGAACAGAATCATTCAAATCTATTTTTTTAAAGGCTTAAATTAAAAAGCTAACAGTTATTTTAGACATTGAGAGTACTGGGATAGCATATTGTTACAGTTTCAAATATGACAGTTTGAGGTCATATTTCTTTGGCAGCCACTCACGTGTTGCTCTGCTTGTTTTCAGATCACCAACATGTACGGCAACCGAGTGATGGAGATCCTCTTCATAGACTTGGGTCTCCCAGCAACTGTAGAGGTCACTGATCTCCGAGAGATCCCCCCTCCTTTCCTCAAAGACTTCACCATCATCCCACCACAGGTCAGTTGTTTTAGTGTGTGTTGTGGGAGTTAATCCACCTTAATCTTCTACCAAGCAAATGGTTGGAGAAGCATCTTTTCCTCTGTTCGCTGATTTAAAGCTTCTCTCCATAATGCATTGTTTCAGGTAAGGCATGTCCTTGAAGTGAGGGGCATACAGTTGTTAGGGTTCAGGCATCTACTGTGCATTAAGACATTTCCAGAGGATTGTAAAGTGCTGAGATTTCAAACTGTGAGACTACTGTTTGTCAGCCTTCAGTGTTGATAGGCTATCACTTGTGATGTGCAACCAGTCAGATATTGCTGTGGGTAGGACACTGAGTGAGACTACAGTGTGTAGTATTTTTGGAAAAAATGGAAAAGCTTAAAGTACTTGAAAGTCGTTTTTAATTTTGTAATGTCTATGAACCCTGGATAAAGTAGTTGTAACACACACATATAGGTTCATCTTTTGTGTGTGTGTGTGTGTGTGTGTGTGTCGTTGCTCCCTCCAGGCTATCAAATGTCGCCTGGCTGACCTCACAGTTCCAGAGGGAGACTGGAGACCTGAGGCCGTTCTGTGGGTGAAGGAGGCTGTCCTGGGCTCTGAGGACTGTAAAATGAGGGTAACATACTTAAACACCTGTTACATAAAGTTAAACCACAGTCATGTGGTGGCAACTCTGTGTATTAAAGCATGCATACACGGTCAAGAGGTTCAGTTGTTGACCAAACATCAGAATGAGGAAGACATTAGAAGTGACTTTGACCTTGGATTGATTGTTGGTACCTAATGAGTATCCATAAATCCGTGTCACGAAGCACACATCATCTCAAGCTGGTTCAGTTCAGTGTACTCCAGTGTTCTCCACCGTCAACAGCTCTCAGTCTTGTAGAGCACCTTTGGAAACAGGAGATTGACTGCATGAACATACAACTATCTCATGCTGTCATGTCAACATGCAGCTGTAAGGCCATATTCACACCAGATCTGCTGTTTGTTAGTATTAAATTGTACCTAATAAAGTGGCCACTGAGTGTATGTTGATTATAAAGGCTTGACCGCTTAAAGCAGACTGGCAGTGTATGGTGTAGCAGCAGGCTTACAAGTAAGGCCACGTTTTTTTCTCCCTTTCTTCCCTCATTTCAGATCTTGAAATTAGACAGGCACAGGGGGGACTGGCTGGTCTATATGTACCTCTTCGTCGGTGCTGACAGTCAGGAGCTGGACAAGAGCATCAACCGTCAACTGGCCCAGTCAGAGTTGTGGCACAAACTCACAACACAGAACAACAACACAATCACCAGCAATAACAGCAGTGTGGATACAGGTAGTACTAAGACTAGGAATAAGTCTATTCTGAGTCTGAACAGGTTTTTTTGTTGTTATTTTGGATTTGTATTGAAGCAGATCTACGAGGATTAAACGCTGACGCTGACTCCGTATACATGTGAAGGTGTTTTGCATGTACCTATGTTTTCCAAAATTCTAGGTCTCAGTGCTCTAGTGGAGAAGATGACTCTGGGCAGATCACTCCCAGTCCCCATTGTCAAGGCCTTAATGCAACCTCTTCATGGAACAAAGGACTCATCTTATCCAGACACAAACACCCAAACTGGGATGCAGCCTCTTGTGATGCCTCCTCTACTGGAGCTCCCACAGGTGTGTGGAGACGGACAAACTCTCTCTAGGGGCTCACTTATTGGTTTGTTTTCCAAAAGCAGTCACACAGCTGCAGTTACCGTCCACTCTGTCCGCTGTCTCTTTCCTCCGCTCCGCTAAGCCCTGTGTGTGCGAGTTGGGGCAGCCCCATCGCTGAGAGTTTAACCGCAGGCAAGGCTGCCTCTGCTCAGAGGAGAGACAGCGGTAGAGGACAGACACAGCCACACTCAACACGCTACTACAAGTGCAACAAAAACCCCTTGTACAAAAAAAGACTTGATCAAGACATCCCTATTTTTGACTGTAAAGTAACTAGCTACAGAAATAGAAGGGAGAAATAACAAACCTCAGAATATCTTCATCAGTCAAATAGAAGTTAATAATTAACAAAACCTCACATACACTTAATTTTCCCTCTTCTTTCAGCCTTGTCAGAATATAGATGTGTTTGTGCCAGTGGCCTGCCACCCTGGTTACTTTGTGCTGCAGCTATGGCAGGATCTGCATAAGCTGGTGGTGTTGATGGGGGAGATGATCCTCTACTACAACCAGACAAGGAAGGCCAACACAGCCACAAACATCCAGAAAGGAGAGATCTACGCTGCCAGAATAGACAAAAAGTAGGCGATGAATGCGTTTGCCCCTGACGCAAACCTTACATATATCAGACCTGCTAACAAAATATAAAAACTGATGGTTGATGGTTAAACTGATGCCTGTCTCTACCCTAGTTGGCACCGTGTACAGGTGAAGGGGGTTCTGGCCAATGGCTTGGTTTCTGTCTATGATTTGGACTACGGAAAACATGAGCTGGTCCGCACTACTCTGCTCCAGCCTCTGATAGAGGAGTTCAGACAGCTGCCCTTCCAGGCTATCACTGCACAACTGGCAGGTCAGTTTCATTTGAATTCTCTTGAAGTGGTTTTACTAGTTGAACAATGTTATTTTATTTTTAACAGGTAGTGTAATACACCTATTTTTCAGTTTAGCTAAGTTTGATATAAGAATGAATTATTTTGTAGTCCTCAGATTAAAATGTTGTAAAAATGTCATTTTCAACCCCACTCAAAGCCTAATGTGTAATTGAATTCTTATTAAGTTCTCAATATTAGACAAGC